AAAACATATATTTGGAAACGAGCATATTCCATATGGACAGGCACTGTTTGAAGAGCTTGAACCGAAACTCAGGAAAGAGTCATGCAAACAATACGCGAAGACTCAAATACAGACTATGACAAACTCTTTCTAGGATATAGGTTACCTGAGATGGGCGACCAGAGCCAAAAGGCAAAAAGGACATGGGAAATTTGCAACATACTAGATGAACATAATGCAAAGATGCAACAACTTCAAGCAGAGGGCAATGAAGGAAAAAGAAGAGTTAAAAACTCAGTCAGGAAGAAAGTAAAGCTTGGTCCAGTGGGTTCTATTATGACATATAAATCCAACTATTCTATATTTTTACTCATATGAAATGTACGCCGCTCAGAATATAACGCCAACAGTTTTGGATGCTATGAATGGAAATGTTTCCGAATGGTATAACGAATGCGACAATGCCATTAGAAGGTCAGAAATAGTTCCTGGAACTTACGAATATACAACTGCTGTTTCTTATGGAAACGTAGGTGAGTTTGGAGAAGGTTCTTCAACAACAGTAGATATTGCTTGCGACAGGTTTCATATATTTCTATTGACAACTCATTCTTATACGTGGAACAAGACATTGAAATAAAACCTTCTGCCAAGTTGTCTGACAAGAAAGGTTGCAATGGAATTTTCTATGTCGGATACCAATATGCTCCAGAAGTTTTCATGGGATATAAGATATATTCTAACTCTGACTTAGTTCAAACAGTAACATGGGCAAACTATGAATGGTTCGCTTTGAGAAACTCAGTACAACCACAAGCTAGAGAACAAACAGACCAGTATGCAACTATTGAGAAAATAAGAAGACTTGACCCTAACGTTCCAGGAGTTTATGTTAACCTTTCTGGACAAACTGCAGCAGCAGTAACCAAAGTAAAATGAAACTTAGAGTTCCTTTGTCATCTTTCCTCATCTTCAGGTTTTTAAGATACTTGCCAAACTGGGCAGGAAAAATTTCTATCGAACTTACTCCAAGCAAAAATAACTTAGTCATTGCACCAACACAAGACCCATTCACTCTTACAGACGTAAGGGAACAAATAAACGTCATTCGCCGAATTTTGCAAAGACAAAGTTGACTTAGACTTTGGTTTCTCAAACCTCAACACTGAAGTAAACTATTATTTCAATGCTGCTGGAACTGCTTGGGACCCAGTTAAGTTCACATGCGAAAAATTTGAATGCAAGAGAATAGAAAGCAGACTTGCAGTCTATATGTTGGACCCAGATATTTCAAATGCTTTAGCTGCCAAATATATTGCAGTTCCACTTATGTTCCCTATACACCAAATATCTGTCAAAGACTTTGCAGGTGAAGTTGGAAACCAAAGTGCTGACCCAGGTGCAAGAACAGATATTGCTTTAACAACTGCAATGAAACATGCAGATACTATGTTTGTACTGTTCAGACGAACTATAAATGACTATTCTTGCTTCTACAACCCTGGTATTAAATACCATATAAACATAGATGGCAAATACTATCCAAGAGAAGAATATTCTACAGTTGAGGATATGAGGTCATACAACTTGACATTAGATGCTATGAACTTTAACAACAACTTCACAACAACCATTAACCCTGAAATGCAAAGTTCTATTATGCCATATGTGAAAGTATGGACTCATACAGGAGCTCAAAAAACTCAATATACAAATGGAGACCGTTCAAACTTTTGGCTTGGCATTCCATTTGCTGACTCAGAAGACTTTATGGGTGGTATTTCAACTGTTGGTACAGTTCAAATACAATATACTGGTGACAGAGACGGTCCAGATGAATTGAAAGCAAAGAAGTTTACAAAACCAATAGCACTTTTCACGGAAGATGCTCTTTTGAAGATTCGTTCGATGAAACCTGCTGGGGCTCCTCAGATTGGCATAACGACAGCTTCCATCGAGCAGATTTTGGCAGCAGGTCAGTAAGTTGTTCTTGAACTGACTTCTCTCCGTCAAATATTGACAGTACGCCAGTTTTGACATAAATTGTATTATAAACTTACCTTTAGAAATATCTGTCAGTTTTGTTGTTATATTTTTGTCTGCTTCAAGAACTTTCACCATTTCAGTTATACCAACTTTCTTTGCTTTATGAAAATATTTTGGTTCAGCAAAGACTGCTATTCTATAACATTTTCCATTGTTTGTGTAAAGAACTATTCTGTCAATGAATTTGTATTGTTTGTGTGTGTAAACTTTGTTTGCTTCAATTCGAAGAGATACTCAAATACGTCCATCTTTTTATTCTAAGTAAAATGTCATTTCCGAAAAATAGAAGCGTAAGTGTTTCAAAAGGTTTAATGGCGGTGGCAGATGTGAAGTTAAATTCACCAACTCAAACAAACAGTCAAAGTGTTGTTGTCAATGTCAAAGAAAGAGATGTTGAAGTGGGGAAACCATACGAAGACGAAGATGGTATAACAATAGTTCCTGTAAAAGAACAACCAACATACCCTGAAGTTAGCAGAGACTTAAGTTCTGTTGCAGATATTCGAAACGACTACCAACAACTTAAAGACAAACTTAAAACTCAGGAGAAGATTTGTCAAGCTTTGGGTATAATGTTAAACTTGGTCGAACACAACCCTGTAAAAGTGAACTCATATGTCATTGCACCTCATGAAGTTTTGAAAGAACTATTGAAACTTTTGACAGAGGCAGACGATATAAACATCAAAGAAATAGAACCCGTTAGTTGCTGTGGTGTTTCATATAATGTCATTGACAAGATATACGTTATGAAAGGAGGTGAAACGTTGAACTTAAAATATAGTTTCCCAGACGTCATAAAAATATTTGACGACCACAACATTTCATTAAAATTTATTTGCTAAGTAAATGGCAGAAGACATATGGTTTATACTATTACGACTAAAAACCCTGAGTCATATAATTCTATAACAACAAACTTACAAAGTCCTCAAGGACGATATTGTAAACTAACCTTAAACACAATGACGACTAAAGCCTGTTTTGCTCTTTTGACACCAGAAGACTTTGTTGTTGTGAATGGTAAAAAATACTTCTTTGAAGATACTTACTCAGATATACCACCAACAGGTTTTGTTGACTTATTTAATACTTTAAGGACGGATGTAACATGTGCTGCAACTAGAGCAGGTTTCATTATGTTTGGATGTCCGACTGAGTTTACTATAAACGATATGAGCTATAATACAAAACTTATATCTGGTTTTTACTACCAACAGTTTCCTATAACAGGAAAAGGTGTCATACAAGGAATGTCTATTCCATTGACTTTAAGTACACCAATTTATATATTGTTTCAAACTTAGGTTCAAAGTGTTATTCGAATGTCGACAGAAACTACTATGACCAAAAGATACTCATGCGTATAAACAACACTTTCTCTGCTGGTTTGCCTATTGTTCATTCGAATGCAGAGTTTTCAGCTTTAGTAAACTCAAACACTTTAGCAAACATAAACTTAACCTTAGTTGACGCAAACTTTGTTCCTGTAAAACTTTTATGTCCTATGTATTTGTCAATGACGGCAGAAAGTTTCGAATTGGAAGATGCAACTGGTGAAAGTATTGTATTACAAGAACAACTTCAACAACAAATAGCTCAAGAACAACAAATGCAACAAATGGAACAACAAAGTCAAGAATAAAAAAATAATATTTTTTTTATTTTTATAAAAATGTACAGAATAGATGTTTCAGATTTTTATGACTTCCAAGCATTCAGAAATATGTGTCCATTTAGAGACTATAACAAAGCAGTCGAGAATTTGAAACGTTTAGTCATTTATGTCGACTCTGCCCCAGAATGTTATGTCATGAAAGAATGGGATGTTGTCTTTAACAAACCAAGAGCAACAATAGTTTCAGAACAAGAATGTAGACAGAAACTTAAGAAAATAAAAGTCGTACAAGTTGGCATGAAGATGTTAGATGCTTGGGATATCTTATTGTCAAAGTTAGAAGATTTTTCAGTTCGTGGTATAAAGTTCTATACACCTTCTCCAAACTTCTATTCTATCTTCACTGGATATAAATATGAACAAGTAGAATGGAAAGAAAATATTATAGAAGCTTGGTTAGACCATGTCAAAGAAATTATATGCAATGGAAACGAAAGAGTCTATGAGTATATCTTATGTTGGTTTGCAAACATCTTACAACATCCAAGTGCTAAAAATGAAACTGCTCTCATCATAATTGGAAAACAAGGAACGGTAAGAACACTTTCTTTACAGATATCTTATGCAAACTGTTAGAAGGTTATTCGAACCCGAATATGACAAACTTAGAAAACATCTGCGGTAAATTTAACTCTTCAATAGAGAATATGAAACTTATAGTTTGCAATGAACTTCAAAGTATAGATACAACAAAGGTTTTAAACTCAGATGCTTTGAAGAGTCTTATAACAGACAAAGTTGGAGTTGTTGAAAGAAAATATAGAGACCAAAGAGTTTGTGAAAATGTTGCAAATTTCATCATGGTTTCAAACAACGCCGTTCCGATGAAGTTAGAAAGTTCTGACAGAAGATATGTAGTTGTCAGAACGTCAGATTCTCATATGCAAGATACAGAATATTTTGACGACTTAGCAGAAACTTTGACACCTAACTTTTACAACCACTTGTTCTCATATTTCATGACATTAGATATTTCTAAGTTCAATCCAAGACAAATTCCACATACCGAAGAGAGACAAACATTGTTAGAAGCAAACAAGAGTGTATATGAACTGTTCATAGATGAAACTGACTTTGAGTGTTTAGATGAAAGGTCATTGTACGATTCGTATAAACAGTATTGTCAAGAGTATGGTTATATGACAGCGTCTAAACGAACATTCTTGGCAAATGTCAAAAGTCTTTTAGATATACAGAACGGCGTATATACAAAGAAAAATTTTTCTGAGTAAATTTAAAAAAAATATTTTTTTATCCGATAGAAAAGATGACGAAATATATTTCAGTCAACAAATATATGTCAGGACTTAAAGAAGAACTAGACCCATTCACATATTTGAATGTTTACTTCTACCATTTTGAAAAGTCTACATTTGACAAAGTTTGGAACATCGAACCAGTTAAGTTTGCTATTGTGACTAAAAATGGTGCGAAATTTGAAGACTTAGACATAGAAGGTTTGTTAACAGTCAAGGAAAATTTTGACAGAAGGTTCTCAAACCTTAAAGAAGGCAAAGCATACAAACTTGTTATACCTTATGAACCAAAGAAAGCAGACGACTATGAATATTATGAGTCTAAGATAGTTGAAGTTCAAGGTAAATTAGGTAAAAAGATTTTAGAGTCTAAGCCGGTGTTTGCTCCTAAAGAGGAAGAGAACATTGACATTGACCCAGAAATGTTCTAAAAATAAAATTTTATTTTTACATGTCAAATTTCTTCTTCTCTGGCTCTGGTTCTTTCTTCTCTTCTTCTACTTTCTTTTCTTTCTTTTCTCTCTTCTTCTTCTTCTTCTCTGGTGGAGTTATGTCAAATTTCTCAGAACCATATTTATGTAAAAGTTCTTTGTCCTTTAATAGCTCTTCTATTCTGTTTTCTATTTCATCTTCAAGAACAGCGCATGTGCCTTCTTTGCATTCTAAGAACTTTTGTTGGACTTCATCTTTCCAATCGGCGTCATCTCTGTCAACAAGTCTGTCATTGACAAATTTTAAGACTGCTCTTTGTAATGTTTTATGGTTCTTGTCATATTCCCAGAAACAGAACTTTAGAACAAATTCACCTTTCTTGTTTACACTATGTAAGATTTTATGGTCGACAGATGTTTTGCTGTCAAAAAGTTTGTCTCGAATATAGATAGCGAAATCGCTAGACATTTTCAAAAAGATAAAAATTTTAATTTTTCTAAAAATATGTTAGAAAAAAAGTTTGCTGACATTGACAAAAAATTTGAGAATGTTTTGAAGAAGAACAAGAGGAAGTTAGAAAATGCTCAGATAAAGCCTATACATGACAAGTTCTTATTTGCTCAGAATGGTATAACAGGTCTAATCGCACCACCTGGGTCGGGTAAGACTTTCACTTATCTTAAAATGGCTGCACAACAACAAGAACTAGATGAGAAGAACCCATTCTATGAGTTAGTTGTTATTTGTAGTACTTCTGGTCAATTTGACCAAACCGTCAATTCGTTCAAAGATATTATAAAGAAGTCTAAGTTAGTATGTATAAAGGATACTGAGTTGTTAGATTGGATAAAGAAGTATCAAAGAAGAGTTTTGAAGTATAATGCTATAAATGAGTATATAAATTCTAAGTTTAAAGACCCAAATGAGGAAATGCAGAGAATATTAGAGAAGAAACACTTCAGAAACAAACAGAAAGAGATAGAATACATTTCGAAGAAATTGCAATCTTACGATTGGAAGACTTACCCTCATAGATGTCTTCTTATCTTAGATGATTTCGCCTCTCATCCTTTGTTAAAGAACAGAGAACAAGATATGTGTCGAATTCTTAAGAAGCTCAGACACTTTAACATCTCAGTTGTCATTTGTGTACAGACAGCAAAGAGTTTAAGTAAGGATGTTAAAAGAATACTTACTGACATTATACTTTTCCCTGGATTGTCCGAAGACGATTTCATGGAACTTATGAAAGAGTCCATGGCAGGTAAGTTTGACAGACATGAACTATGGGAGAAGTACAAAGTCATACAAGACCCTCATACTTCTTTCAGAATTCATATCTACGCAAACAAAGTTCAAATTGTAAAAAGTCAATAAAAATAAAGAGTTTTGGCGACCAGGGTTTTTTCACTACTCGCTGTTCTTCTCTCGGTTTTCCGAGGGAAGCAAGCATATGAGGAAATTCATGAAATTTCATACGGAATTCAATAAAAATAATGTTTATGTTAGAATGTTAGATCTAACATGTTTTCTAACATGTTTTCTAACATGGTCTAAAACATACAAAATTCATGAAATTTCATACGGAATTCAATAAAAATAATGTTTATGTTAGAATGTTAGATCTAACATGTTTTCTAACATGTTTTCTAACATAACTATTTACAAGCGTTTTACATGGTATATGTTGCGATGGTTCATGACTCTAAACAATTTCGTAGCTTCTATTTCTTCTGTCAGTATGTCAAAAGTTTTAACGATACCGAAAGTTTCTTTATACTTCTTCTTGACATCTGAAAGAAGGAAATCGTTAGCGGTTGGATAGTTTTTGTTCAGAAATTCTAACATGTTCATTTTATCTTCTGCTGGTTTTTCTGCTTCTTTCTTTAAATCTGCATAGTCGTTTCGCATACGTTCTATCTCTTTGACGGAGTAGTTATATTTCCTCATTGCTGCTTTACATTTTGAACATTGCGGGTTCATTTTTGCGTTATATTCTGAAACCTTACCTGCAAGTATGACCAAGGCGTCAATGGTTTTCTTCATCTCGAACATAGCGGGTTTTATTTGTTCGTTCCATACCTTACCCCTACTATCTTTATCTCTTATTTCCCAAACACATTTTGCAACTAATGAAACAAAGTTGTCGTAGGTCTTAAATTCTTCGGATTTGTAAAGGTCAGAGATGTTCTTATATACCATGTCGCAATCTTTGTCCATAACCTTATGGTTGCAATGAAAACCAAGGAATTCATAATTTACCTTTCGTATGAACTTCTTTATTTCTACTGAGTCAGTTGCTTTGACTTCTATTTCGTCAAATTCGGGAATGGTTAGTTTTTGTTGTTGGATTTCAGGCAATTTGGGTAAATGGTCAATAATGTCCTGCATTTCATAAAGATACTGTTCATTTGTTTCATCTTTCGCACTACAGTCTAAATTACTTGTTAACAATTCCTGCTTTATCTTCTGGATTTTTGTTTCGAAAGTATATGAAGAAGGAATGAAGCTTTTCATCTCTACTAACATTGAAGTTGGGTTCATAACTAGCGAGTTTGGTGCTGTAGTTGCTAACATGTTCTTACAATAAAAATAAAAAAATATTTTTTTAAAAAAACCAACTTTATTTTTTATGTTTTTTGTGAAAGTGTCAAAACTCATGAATTTCGAGAGTTTTAGACCATGTTAGAAAACGTGTTAGAAAACATGTTAGATCTAACATTCTAACATAAATTATATTTTTGGTGTAAATTTCATGAAAATTCAAGAGTTTTAGACCATGTTAGAAAACGTGTTAGAAAACATGTTAGATCTAACATTCTAACATAAATTATATTTTTGGTGTAAATTTCATGAAAATTCAAGAGTTTTAGACCATGTTAGAAAACGGTTTAATAGAAAAAGTGTTATTTTTTCATGTCCGAAGACTCGAAGGTGCAACACTTCCAAAATACCGACGAACTCAGAAGAGCAGCATGGCAGTATCTTCTTGACAACTTCTTTGAGTTCTCCAGGAACACCTTGGAAAATGCTGAAGAACTCCGACACAGAGAATTTGGAGAAATTGCACTCCAATACTACATTGACAAACAAAGGGTAAACAAAGGGTAAAATAAGACTAAAAACTTAACGTTTAAAAAGTGACATTTTTAATGAGCTCCGAGTCACCGAGAAAACTTGGTCAGATGTTAGCAGCTTACTTCCCTGAGGAGGATGGAAGCGTTACATACGTAAGGTTCAAAAACAACGAACCTGGAATTGCGTACCAAATTCGCAATTACATGACCATGGAAGAGTACGAAAGGTTCCTACAAGAGAAACCAGCTCTAAACAACTCAGAAAAGAAAGAGTAAAAAGTTTAACTCGTAATTGTTTATTTTTTTACTTGTATGGGCAAGCTGCAAGAATGAAGTCGACTATCTCAGTCTTTGTTTTGACCAGTTGGACTGCTCTTGCGAGTACGTCTGTTTTGCGGTCTCCAGCTGGTGTCTGACCTTCGTAATTGCGCATGTTCTTGAGAGCTCCAACTGTAAATGATTGTAGGATGAAGAGTCTCTCAGACTGCTTGAGGTAGTCTTCACGGTCACGAACCGAATCTGTGGTACGAGTCGAATCGGTCGATTTGAGGGAAGAGACTGAAAGCCTGTCGTCTTCCATAGGGGCTGTGGCATAATCTTTGCGTAAGCGGTTCAGACCTTCTTCGAACTCTTGGTCTCTCTTCGATTTGGATTGAGATTGGAATTGCTGGGGTGGAGCTTGCTGGAACATCCAAGGGTTGGGGAAGTAAGGCATAGGCTGAGGAGGGTAGTTCGGGAAGCCTTGTAGTGGAAATTGGTAGTAACCTTGAGGTGGAAATTGGTAGTAAATCGGAGGGACTTGCTGGAACTGAGGTTGCTGAGGAGACTGTTGTGGTTCTGCAGCTTTCGGTTCTTCTGGTTTGGGAAGGCATTCAGGAAGAGGAACGTCAGTCATCCGTTTGTGTCCTGTCGGAAGGAAGAACTTTTCCTGTCGGAAGGAAGAACTTTTTCTGTTGGAAGGAAAAATTTTTCCTGAAGTTCGACCAAAAAGTTCTCAATTTTCGAAAATTTGAATGGTTTACGGACGGACAACTGGAAGAGTTCTTCCTGTCGGAAGGAAAAATTTTTCCCTTTGTCCGGAAAATTTTTTCCAGTTGTCGGGAAAATATTTTCCTGTCGGATGGAAGGACTCGGAATACCAGAAGGATTTGACGAGGCAATTTACCTTATAGAGATAAATGAAGTTGTTAAGCAGTACTTGCGCAGGGTAATGAAGCCCAAGGTCAAGTTCACCACTATTTCTGGAAGGTCTACACTTCAGCTCGAGACTTCGACTGGAATTCCAATTCAAATACCAGACGGGACAGCCTACGATGGCATAAAGGACGCCAAAAGAGAAGCTCTTGTTAAGTTCCTAAACAAACGTCCTTGGATAAAAATACCAAACAAGGAGAACCCCCTACCCCATATGAAATTGGCAATTCAGTCTCTCCTTCACTTCTCGGGTCAGCCGTTCTACATAACCTGTGAAGGCGACATCCAACCAGTTCAGTAAACCTTATCGTTTAACTTCACTTTTTTTATGTTTTTACTCACACTCGTACTCAACAGGTTTGTGTACAACTATTTCAACTGTGAACCTTGTATTGACCGGTCTTCCTGTAAATGCAAGTTTGGTCAATACACAGTTTATGGTGGCAAGAAGGACAGTGGGGAATGTTATTCTGACATCTGTTGTTGCGCTCGAGAGAGATTTGAAATTTCAGAGCCACCTCCCCCAAGAACTCCAACACCAACACTCAAGTTGCCAAAGACTCATGTGAAGAAGAAGCCTTCTGGTAAGTTTCTTATAGCCATATACATGGCACGCTTTGAGTAAAAACATTTTTTTCATTTTTTGAATGAAGCAAGTTAAATTCGTCCCACACCAATCTCAATGGACCGATGAAGAGTTTCAAGCCATGGTTGAAGGCGTTGAGAACGACATAGACGGCGAACTTGAAGGAGCTCAAACCACAATTGCAACCAAAATTGCAGAGTCAAGGAACAGATAGCTCCACTTAAAGCTACCAAAGCTACTCTTGACCTCATGGATAGTTACCGTTTAGATGTCAAGAGTGGAATAAGACAATTAAAATTAAAACTTCTAAACTACGAAGCTATACTCCAAAAGTTAGCAGAAATGAGAAGACTTTACCAGAGCTACTTACATGTAAGGGACTTACCTTCAAGCAGTCCGACCAAAGATGAATTTTCTGACATTGTCCCAATTTTGTCCGAAAGTCAGCTCAGATGTTTTGAACTGCTCCCAACATATCCAGAATATGAACGTTTGCCTGAACTCTTCCGCAATCTCAAAAAACGTTTTTTGGTTCTCATGTTCGAAACTTTTATCGGAAGAGACAACAAACGTTCAGAAGAAGAACAAGATATTATTTTAAACTTGTTGTATGACTTAACCGTCATAACAAGCTTTTTGAAGTAAAACCGTCATTCTCAAACCACTTCATTTTTTCGATGTCCGAACAAGCACCGAAGCCGAACACAATGGCAGATGTCCTTTCAATGTTGCCAGACAAGCGCCCAGTTCAAATTCAAATTTTGAATTTGAAAGCTCATCTGACAAACACCGTTAAGACTCTCCAAAGTAGTCTTATGGAAGAGATGACCAAGCTCAAAGCCGATGTCCTCATGAACCAAGCTTCCAATGAGAAATGCCTGAATGATTTGACGGAAACCTTGCGCATTTACGCGAGAGAGAACCGAGACCTTGCCAGACTCATCTACCGTTTCTTCGAAGAGATAGACGCCATCTGGAAGGTACTCGGAAAGGACAGAACCTCCAACACCGTAATTCGTGAGTACCAAATTGAAGAAGGAATTGTCGAGGAAGAAGAGAAACACGAAGAAGAAGAGGAAGAAGAAGAGAAACACGAAGAAAGGAAGTTTGGGCAACCCTTGTTGCCGATGACACTTACGAAATTTCCCAACCCTACCCATACCAAATCCGCAACAAGGAGACAGGCAAGGTTCTTACCCCAGTCCTCAACAACTTGGGACACTTGAACCTTAACCTTCGGAATCGCGGTTCAATCTCCATGGGCAAGCTTGTCGCAATTCAATGGGTTCCAAATCCAGCAAGAAGACGAAGGTCAGACACATTGACGGTGACAAGCTCAACAACCGTAAGGAGAACCTCGAGTGGTTCTAAGAGTAAAAAAATTTTATTTTAGGGGGAAACCCCGAGTAAATTTAGGTGTTTATTTGGATAAGTATGTAAATTAAGGTCAATTTGAAATTAGTTCCCGACCTTGAATTGGACTCTTTCGTCATCCCAGTTGCGTAGGAGGTCGTCCCAGAGGAGTTGGTAGAATTGCCAATCCAAGGACGATTTGTCCTCCCAGGCATTGAGGATGTACTGCTCGTAGAGTCTCATGACCTCTCCCTTGCACCAGACACCCTCTCCCTTGGAACGTAAGGCTTCTTCGAAGTGCTCGAATGCGATTGGCTGCGTGACCATCCGAAATGACACTTTTTGTCCGTTTGGTCAATGTTTGTGTCTCGTGCCATAGTCGACGAAAATACAAACAGGTTATATATGAGTTTGAGACCAAGAATGGTGTAACTCGACCTGTCCGATTCAAATTCGAATAAAAATTTTTTATTTCATGCAATGTTTTATTTCTGTGCCGTCTTCAAGTATGCCCCAGTACTTCCTTCGAGAGGACATGAACTTCGGTGAAAATTTTGTCCAATTTGAATTGACCCATCTTTTCACCGACCATGCCCATTTCAATGAGTTTGTTGTACCCTTCTTCGTTCGTCATGAGTGCGTCAATGTTCTCATAGTAAACCTTCACTTTGGATTTGACTTCGGAGAAGAATTTGTTGTAGTTGTCAAGGACTGCCTTTGCGAACTGAGGGTAAGACCAATGTTCGACAATAGGTTTTAATGTGGTTACTAAGCCACTTTGACCTTGAGTGAATTCGTACTTCAAAACAAAAGGAGAAAACCTTTCAACAAAGTTGTCGACCTTCTCATAATGTTTACTCTTCATCTCTTGAGGTTTCTTAATGGAATATCCCCATGTCGAATTCATAAGCAATTTGAGTGTCATTGCAAGTTTGGGGTTTGAAGCTTTCCTAATATCATACAGTTGTTGTATGACTTTTCCAACTGTATAGTTCCTTCCTGGGAACTCA